TGACAAATGCATACCCCCTGGGAGGATGTAACACATACATAACCACCACTTAGGGGTAAATTTACCATGAAGCACACCACAACCCACCCAGGATTGCACGGGTCAATAACCTTGCAACATCTACTCTGGGCAGAGTGCCCTACACATCCTGCAGGCAGCACGCGCCTATGCTACACCTTAAGAATCATAGACCTACTCATAAGTTCAACATTTGTTGGAATGATAACCAAAATGTGCTACTTGCCATGTTAAACTTGTTTTATGCATGTTTTAAACTGAAAAAAGAAACAAATGACTCGGCAAAATATTAAAAAAACAAAAACCAAAAACTCCTGTGTTAACACCATAGTACTGTGTACTACCCATAACATTATTATTATTATTATTATTATTATTATGATATTTATAGAGCGCCGTCAAATTCCGCTGAAACGCTGTGTGTATCAACTCCTTTTTAATGTTTCTCACATGTTCAGAAACTCTAACATGGAGACACCTAATTGTCCTCCCTATATACATTTTATTGCATGGACAAATTAATTGCATGGACCTAGAATTGTACATAGGGGATGCAAGAATATTAAGAATTTCTGGAGGCGGAGCTTAACCCCGCGCGTGAATGGCCGCATAATCCCCGAGCTCCGCCGCGACCTAGCCCAACGGAACGCCATCCACAGCACCTGAGCCCCCCAAATCCCCCGAAAATACCCCCGCTACCCCCCCCGGACACCCGCACGTACCTTCCTCATGGGCGGCGGGAAGAAAGCCCGCAATCAGTCAGTCGCGCCGATCTTCAGGCAGAAGCCTGAATAACAACGGGCACCATCTTTAGACCCCCCACAGACAGACTCGGAATCCGAGATGAGCAGCCAGGCACACTCTGACAGATCTGAGGCACCACTAACCAGGAGGGACATGAGGGGATTCCTGGCAGACTTCAAAAAGTCAGTGGCAGAAGAACTGGACAAAAGACTGTGCCCCATACTAGAAGGCATGGCAGACCTCTCAGCCCGTGCACAGGCCACAGAGGCCAAAATGGCCGACACAGATGAAAGGATTCAAGCCCACGGCACTGAAATTCAATATCTACGTGATCAACTGCGCTCCCTAGAAGAAACCAATGAAGACCTCAATAATAGAACGCGCAGGAATAACATCAGGGTAAGGGGCATCCCAGAAACAATATCAACTGACCTCCTCTCTGACACCCTCACAGAGGTATTCCAAAACCTCCTGCCGGAGGCCACAGCAGCTGATTTACTGATGGACCGGGCACACCGGGCACTGCGAGCCCCAAGCGCCAATGCCGCCACACCTAGGGATATTGTGGTGAGGCTCCACTTCTACCATATAAAGGAGAGAATTATGAGAGCTGCTAGGGACGCCCCCATTGAACTGGAAGGAGTGCCAGTCCAACTATTTCAAGACCTGGCACCAACTACCCTCAAACGGCGGAGAGAACTACGACCGCTAACGCAACACCTCAATCACCATGGCCTCCGCTATGCATGGGGTCATCCATTCAAAATGATCATTCGCAAAGATGGCAGATTCCACTCCCTCACAAGGCCTGAAGAAATCCCTGCACTTCTGACGCAACTAGGCTTACCTCAGCTCCCAGAGACACCTCACTCCAACACAGATCTCCCACCACGACAGGCGCCACGCAACAATCTGCCTGCCAGAAATGGCGAACGCCAACATCGCCACACAGCACTGCAAAGCACAGATGCAGCGCAGCAGTAGAGGTGAGGAGAAGGGGGGACAGCGCCGCAGGAACGGCTACCCGCCTCCATACCTAGACGCCCCTTCCAGACGTCTTCGGTCGACAATGCGTGAACCGACCCTTTACCGCACCACCTGAGTGATCCCAAGCCAGAGGCCTACAATAAAACGGCTACTAGCACAACACGTTCCACACACTCCGGGAAGTTTTCCTCAGCACCACCACTGCACCCCCAACAAGCACTATTGCCCACGGAGGTACCTAGTGCACAGACTACAACATAACACTTCAGAGACAGGCCTACATACTGGCGGGAACCACGAAGCGCTGAAACCAAAGCTCGGCCACTCTTACCGGGCACTACACCAACGCCCTCCAGCCCCAACTAAAACGACCTACAGCGGAGCTTCCTGCACCACACACTACGCCCTGGAACGGCCCCCTCCTCACGCCGACAGCTACAACCCCGGGAGAGCAATTGATAATGACTGACACTGAAACCCTACCCGGCAAGAACCCCCAGCACCCACAGGACTACTCCCGGAACGCACCACATCCCGTTTCAGAAACCCCTCTCCCGGTTAATGCCCACTACAGAAGCCTGAGGTCCGGACCAGAAATGGGACTTTGAGACTCGGACACTGGGCGGCAAACAGCAAGTATACCACAAAGGGGACTGTATATACGCACACACCTAGCGAAGCGCTCCTCGCTCGCAGCCACCCAACCCCAAACCAGACAACAGGTCCAACCCTCACGGCACGGGGGAGGGGGAACGGGAGAGTGGAGGGAGGGACACCGGGGAGGGAGACAGAGAAGGGGGCGGCAGCCAGGGGGGACGGGACCCCAGGAGAACGAACAGACGGACCCCTTACCTTCCCCTTACAAGGGGAGCGGGCAACACAGGCCATCCGGACTCCCCACACCCGCCACCACGGACATTGGAGAAACATCCCCAACCTACGACCTGATCCACAGACGGACAAGGTATGACCGACAGCTTACCCTCCCCAGTTCGACATACACTTGACGCAGTACCGACACACGGACGGGCCACATAGACGAGCTGTAGACAGAAGACAGACACCATCACCACAGGACTGACTTAGGACCATGCCAGCTCGGGGGGAAATTGACAGAGGACGCTGCCCAGGCGGTATGGGGCTACCCATGTACCACCCATACACCATCTGTCCCTCCAGGGGCTGACCCGACTGACCGTACGACATGGGCGAGACGGCCTGGCCACCCTGAGGGGAGACCCGTGGGTCACCGGGAGGAGGGGACGCGGGATAACACGCACTCGAGACCAGAAGCACCTGCGGAAAACACTGTTCTCTTTCCTCCTTGCCTGCCTTGATGCTGTATCTGTTTCTACCAGCGAAATGTTAATGTGTTATATTGTTGAATTGTAAATGTAAGCATGTTATATACAGGTTATTGTACACGCAATCGGCCGGCGGCCGAAACACACACACGGAACCCTGCACAGAGAAGAGTACCCACACCCCAACAAGCCGCAACCCCCCCGCTAGAGGGAGGGGGAAATACAACAGCTATACTGCCAGGGGCCACCACACCCACACTACACCCCGCTTTAAGAGGTCAACACGCTACACATAACCCTCAGCAATACTATAGCGCGGTCAAACCCATACACACAGGATCACTCCTCATAACTCTAATGACGCGGGGCGGCCCCGCCGCTGCCCCCATGCGATATACCTCACCAGGAGGACGGGCAGCGCCGGGGCAGACTCCGTACCATTGGCACACACAACCACCCCCTACAAAGGAACACGGGCACCCATATGCCTAGCGACTTAGAACACACGCCCACTTTGACAAGCCTGCGCTACAGCATCCAGACCCACATACGGGGAGCCCTCCAACACACTACCTATATGTGAACGGAGACAATCCCGCACCACATAACGGACCGCACATACGAGAGCGCCCGCCCATGACCCACCTCCCCTATCCCAAATCCCAATACCCGGCTCAGCCAACTTCAAACATTCACGGGCAGGCCATCACCTGCGTACACCCCACCCCTCCGGCCTCGACTCTCCCGAGGATCGCTACACGGGCCTTGGTTCAGGAACTCGAGACCCCCGCCTAACCAACGACTGGCCAGTTAGATAAGCCCAGTCCCCCAGACACCGGCCCGCGCGGGCGGGACCCTGCCGATCCCCACCCCCTCTCTCCTGCCCCCGCTCTCCCTGCTGACACCAAACCGAACCGACTGCCCACCCGCGGCCATCGAGACCAGAAGGGACGCTACACTGCACACCATCTCTTCCCTCAACGCTGGTCAGGGACCACCCTCCGACGGCAACATGGCGCCAAAGAACCTCCAAATCCGCCTCACCTCCCTCAACGTCAAGGGACTTAACTCACCAGGGAAAAGACACGGGATACTGCGATGGGCCAACCGTACGGGAGCGGACATCGTCCTGCTTCAGGAAACCCATTTTACCGACCATAAACAATTCCCACTAATCAACCGACACTTTAAAAGGTACTACCTGGCCAACTCGCCGGAAGCAAAAACAAAAGGAGTCGCAATATTACTACGAAACTCCTGCCCACTAGAGGACATACAAACCCGCAAAGACCCCTCGGGGCGATTCCTCTTTCTCTCGGGGCGTTCAGGGACAACCTCCCTAACCATATGCTCACTATACGCTCCCACCACCCCGGACGCCTCATTCTGGAGCACATTCAAGGCCCACCTCACGAGCCTCGCAGCCAAACACCTCATTGTAGGCGGCGATTTCAATGCGACCCAAACACCCACAACGGACCGCAGAACACACACCGGCAGCACACCGGCTCAGACTAGTAACGATAAACTGTTCGCGGATTTCCTTACTGACACACCCCTACTGGACGCCTGGAGAATCCAGCACCCATCGTCGGTAGATTTCACCTTCTACTCCCACACACACAAGTCCTACTCCCGAATTGACAGCTTCCTTATCTCCCCGGCAGTTCAACCCTGGACCACCCATACGCACATTGGAAACATCGCGTGGTCCGACCACGCTGAAGTGTCGCTGACGGTACAGATCCCATTACTGGCACGCCCTTGGCGTTGGAAACTTAATCCATGGATACTCAAAGATGCGGCCACAGTCCACACTGTGACTGAGAAACTCAAAATCTACTTCGACCTCAACACCACTGACGAAGTGGCGCCAACAACGGTCTGGGCAGCTCACAAAGCAACGATCAGAGGCGACCTTATAGCCATAGCCACAGCCCTTAAAAAACAGCGACTCCAGAAACTTACGGACGCCCTGGCCGACCTAACAAGGCTCGAAACCCTACACAAACAAAGCCCGTCCGACGCACTCCTTGCACAGCTCAAGACAACGCGAGAACTCATCAAACAACTCTCGGCAGCAGACGTGGCAAGGAACCTCATGTGGTCCAAGCAACGATTCTATGAAAAAGGCAACAAAGCGGACTCTCTCCTGGCACGTTGCCTCAAAAAACGGCAAGATAAGAAGAAAATCTCGAAAATTCAAACTCAGACTGGAGAAACGACAACAAATCCAGAAGCAATAGCCCAAGAATTCCTGCAATACTACACTAACTTATACAACCACGCCGCCACGATACCCACGAGAGGTACGGATCAATCAGAGGCCATCTCCTCCTTTCTACGCCCCCTCAATCTACCCTCCCTCTCCAACCAGGCACAAGCCATGCTGGAAACACCCATCGAGGCCGAGGAAATCGCTCTAGTTCTCAAAACTCTGAAACCCAGGAAAAGCCCAGGACCTGACGGCTTCACAGCCATTTACTACAAGACATTCCAGGCCATCCTAATACCGCAACTCTGCAAAGCATTCAATTCACTGCTGCAAGGACACGACCTCCCCCCCGACATGTTGACAGCCGACATATGCCTCCTACCCAAGCCCGGAAAAGAACACCTTGATCCGGGACATTACCGCCCAATTTCACTCTTAAACACCGACCTGAAAAGCACTGGCTAATCGCCTCAACCCACTCCTCCCGCTACTGATTCACCCAGACCAGGTCGGCTTTATCCCCAAACGACAGGCATCAGACAATACCAGGAGAGCTTATGACACAATCTGGTACACCAGACACCGAAATATCCCCTCGGTAGTGCTATCACTGGATGCCGAGAAGGCATTCGACCGCCTTCTCTGGCCATACATGTACGGAGTATTAGCACACCTGAACTTTCCACCGGGATTCCTGAACATCCTCCGGGCAATATACAATCGCCCAACTGGGAAGCTCCTACTCCCCCTTGTAGAAGCCCAAACCTTCAACATAGCAAACGGGACCAGGCAGGGTTGCCCACTTTCCCCGTTACTCTTTGCAATCTCCCTGGAACCTCTGCTCCAAGCAATCCGCAATCATCCCACCATACAAGGAGTATGGATCAGACAAGACACATACACCGTGGCAGCTTACGCAGACGATGTCCTCCTCACGTTGACGGACCCCATCCCCTCCCTACACTCCACACTCACCCTCATCGCCGAATATTCAATCATATCGGGCTACAAAATCAATTTATCTAAGTCTATATTAATGCCAATAGCGATGACTCCCTCTCAACTCCAACTGCTTCACCACTCCTTCCCCTTCCACATCACCACGACTGCTCTCACATATCTCGGCACCAAACTGGCTCCGACACTGGGAGACATCTATGGCCTCAACTACACACCGCTTCTCTCAACAGCGTACTCAGACTTGCAACGCTGGGACAAACTGGGGATATCGTGGCTGGGAAGAGTCACTACCATCAAAATGAACCTCCTGCCACGATTCCTCTACCTCTTCCAGACGCTGCCTATCCCGATACCGAAATCGGACTTCCAACGCTTACAAGCGGCAATAGACAAGTTCATATGGAAAGCCAAGAGACCCAGAATTCGCAGAGCCACAATGTACATCCCTAGACTTAGAGGCGGCCTCGGACTACCCAACTTTCAGCAATACTACAACGCGGCCCAACTGGCCCACATCCAACAATGGCACGCCCCCCCAGGCACAAAACGCTGGGTGGACTTAGAACATGACATCCTGGGGTGGGACCAACCCTCCTCATACATGTGGGTGCCACGCATATACCGACCACTTCCACCACCTACCTCACCGGCAATCACTCACACACTGACCCTCTGGGACAAACTTAACCCGAGATACGACCTCTCCTCCTTTCTCTCCCCGGTAACACCGATATACCGAAATAAACTCTTTCCACCGGGCATGACAGCGAGACACTTCCTCGCATTCGACCAACGCGATATATCACGACTACTCCACCTGTACCGCCAGGGAGAAACTGTCAAATACAACGAACTTCCCCAAGCGGACACCCTAACCACATCGGACCATTTCCGATATATACAGCTCCGAGACCTGGCGCAACAGCCCATGATCAAGCAAGCAGGCACCTCACCTCCGACGACATTCGAGAAGCAGTGCTTCGACGCACCCCTACAATCGGGACAAATCTCCGCCCTCTACAACACACTGACGACCCACGCCTCACAGGTCAACCTCACCTACATGGCCGCGTGGGAGCGAGATTTGGGACCACCTGATGACCCGAGCGACTGGGCCGAAATCTGGGAAGAGACAAACTCCATAACGGTATGCGTCACTGACAAAGAACAAGCATACAAGACGTTGCACCGTTGGTATCTGACGCCACAAAGACTCTATAAAATGGGCCGAAAACCCGACGATGGGTGCTGGAAATTGTGTGGCGCTACTGGCTCCTACCTACATTGCTGGTGGACATGCCCCAAACTCAAACCACTATGGGGACAGGTAAGCAACCTCATTGAAATGATCATAAACAAACCAGTCACCACACAACCATGGACCATGCTTCTCAGCAAACCGTTAGATTCGCTAACAAGAAGTGAAAACAAACTAACCGCCCGCATCAATCTAGCGGCACGGCGAGCGATAGCAGAACTTTGGGCTGACCCCAAAATCCCCACGACCACAACCATAATAAGCAAAATCAAAGAAACCCGCAACCTGGACGAACTAACGGCACAAATAAACGATACGTATAAAGCGTTCCACCGCATATGGGACCCCTGGGACGCGAACCACGCAAAACTGAACGAGAACGTAACGAATTAACACTTAACGGCCCGAATCAGTGACCCCGACAAGCCTCGACCCAAGCCGAACGAGCACCGCGGACATGCACTAACCAGAAGGAGCGCCACTGGTGGAGCCCCCCCTCAACCTGACGTGTTGGTTCTTAACTACATTTCTTCCCCTTTTTTTTTCTCTTCTCTTTCTCTCTCCCTCTCTCCTTCCCCCCTCCCCTCCTCCTCCTCCCACCCGCGCGAGACGAGGAGCGGCACCTTCCGCCAAGCCGCCCAACACAAAACCAACCAAACGCGGAAACCCGCGCCCCTCCCCGATCCCCCTAACCGCCCTGTCCAAAAGCATATGGGGACCAGACCCCCGATAGCAACCCTACCCGAGGCATGCAAACAACACCTAACAGCCACCAAAACACCCAGGAGACACAGGCCTTGCAACCACGGACACGCCCTAGAACACCCATCCCTCGATAACACAGCACGCCTGCAACAAAGAGCAAGCACACACGCCCCAAACCCTAGAATGCACTAGCACACAGCAGCTGCAAACGAAGGATTCCCAAACACTTGAAGGCTGTAACATGAGGGAGCACATAAATGGAACCACATGCCAACCCGCCCATCCCCTCTTCTCAGCCCTCGCTCTCCCGCACGGCCTCCCACACAGCACAAACACAATACAGACCCCAGAAGAGGGCGGTGCGGCAGCGGGGGTGGGAGGGAGGGGGGGCGGGGGGTAGGGGAGTAGACAAATAGGACACCCCTATTCCCTCCCACTTATTCTGTACCCTTCCCCGACCCAAAGAGCTAGAGTCAGGACAAATGTCATGTGCAGAGTAACTTAGAATAAGCAACTACCAAATGACGAAAACGCAGTATGTACAACACACAAGAATTACATGCATGACTGTTATACCTTACAAATGCCAAATGTACTCTATGCAGAATGTACCAATACCCTTACTCCCCCGTTGTTTTCTGTACCCTAACCCAAACGAACACGAAAATCTTAAAAATAAAGATTTTCAAAAAAAAAAGAATATTAAGAATTTCTTAGTAAATAGTAATTTAAAAAATCATCAGAATAAAAATGACAATTTCCTGACAAAAAGTAAAGGTTTTTATGGGTGTGGAACGTGCTCTGCATGCAGGGAAACAATAAGCAAAAAAAGACACATAAAGAATACGAATGAAATTACTAATAAAGAGTTCACAATAAGAGACCAATTGACATATTTCTCTAAGAATATTATTTATTTATTAATTTGTCCATGCAATAAAATGTATATAGGGAGGACAATTAGGTGTCTCCATGTCAGAGTTTCTGAACATGTGAGAAACATTAAAAAAGGATAGAAGAAATGACTTTTATCTTTAATTTTAATACTATGGTCCCTCATGGATTGAATTTGGACTTTGAATTGTGTCATTTCTTGTCATAAAAATCCCCCTTCTTTTTAAGCTCTTTTCCTTTTTTAATTGTAATAATAAAAAAAAAAATAATAATAAAAAAATTTTTTTCAATCATATATTGTATTATTCTCTCTCTACCCATCCAGATTTGTATCCATTTTTGTTTCAACCGCTTTTTATAATTGTAGGGGTTAATTGAAGATTATACTAGCTTTAGTGTACTAATAATCTTAATTTTAGTAATGACAGGAGGCGAATATTTGCATATCTTTCTTTACTCAAAACTCCAGCAGCATAGTAACATAAACAACCAATCAGAAAAAAGATATAATGCCCATAAAAGGCCCTGTCTATGACATCACTTCCTCTTTCTTTAAAGCGAAACAATAAATAGCAATAGGAGACATAATCATATTACGTCAACAGTTCAACAACATATTAGAATATCCAACTCCACTAGTTCCACGATGCAGAGGTATAGAAGGTGAATCTTTGTCACGATGAGAAGACGTTCACGCTGCAAGAAAAAGAAAAAGGTGAAAGGTATCTGGCGTGATAACTTGTCCGCATACAATAAGCATTAAGCATCTGACATACCAGCGAACATTAGAGTGTGAAACATATCAATATATATTTATTCTAACGCAATGATATTTAAGAATCTATAAACACAACATAATGCAAGGTTCACGTCTAATATTCAGCCAATACAAGACCCACAAGATACAGGTCTAAGTAGCAAACATACAAACCATACGTACTTACCTTCCTGAACATAAAGGACATATTCTGTTCAATACGAGGAACATGGGAGGGATTCTACAGGGTGGGAAATATTCGCCTCCTGTCATTACTAAAATTAAGATTATTAGTACACTAAAGCTAGTATAATCTTCAATTTTACCACATGACAGGAGGCTTCATATTTGCATTTTTAAAGCTTTGAATTGACCAATGTGAAGGAAGCATGAGATGTTTGCCGAAAATAGAACGTTCTAAACGTACTCTCTCGCGCTCAGTCCGCGCAGCGTATAATGTCGGCTAGGGAAGCGTCGGCCGAAAAGGTTTGTGAGGCCGCTGCTCCCCTGACCGAGTGGGCTCCGAAACAAGGTTCGACGCTAAAGACAAAACCCCGCGGACCCATCTGGCCAGTGTTGCGGTAGACAGCGGTCCATGAGGGTTTACGTAAGAAGTCAGAAGGTGATCCGTCGAGTGAGTTCGAAGGGGGTAGAGATATTGGTGTACCCCATTGGCGTTCTGACCACGCATAGTGTGGCGTCTGACACAAAGCATGGGTATGACACTGAAGACGAATCAGACTTAGTTTGTCTCGACATGGTAAAGGTAACCCCGTCTGGTGTGAGAGAGAAACCATCCATATCGCAAGCCCTAACGTCCGCCACCGTCTAAATGAGACGAGGCATAATAAGAAGGCTAGTTTGGCTGAAAGTTGCTTCAGTGACCAACAAGGATTGTCCGGCCATTCCCTAAGGAATCTCGGCACCACATCCACCTGCAAAAGGCGTGAATATTTGGGTGCCGGGATCTCGACAATTCGGCACCCCGCAGTAGTCGACAAACCAGTGTATCTTGACCTACTGGTCTGCCCTGTACCGGAACGTGCGCCGCCCACATGGCGGATCTGATCATGTTGAGGGATCGATATGACCGACCCAACGAGACCAGGTGTGACAGATAGTTGGGATCAGTGGGACAGGTGCGGTAAAGGGATCGGAATCCCTTTCCACACACCAATCACTCCAGGCCGACCAGGCAGAAATATAGCCTTTCCTGGTGCCGGGAGCCTATGAGTCCCATAGGAGGTCTTAGTTGATGCAATAGGTCGTGATCTGACCAGGAGCCCCTGAAGCCGTCCAGGCAACTAGTGTCAGTTGTCCTTCCATGACAAGGTAGTGGGCTCCCCCTCGAGGTCCCGTCAGAAGTAGAGGGAAGGTAGGGAGTAGTAGAGGGTCTTCGCGAGACATCTCCAGGCGATCCGGGAAATCACGGTTGGCCCTGCCCGAGGGGTGTCATGAGCAGGAGCGATATCTTGTGGGTGTGTGTGTGTATTGAAGCACCTTTGCTATTGTGGAGAAACGGCTGGGTCGCGTTTGCAGGGGTTCATCCATCGCCCCGTATCCGAAGGAAGAGTCAAAGATCGTTTTGCCAATCCAAGTTTGTATTTGAAGTAATCACCATCGAAATTCCATCCTCACTTCCGCCGACAGTGGGATCCAGTGGTCATATGAGTGAGCGGTGCGTACGTATCTCACCATCAGTCGTAGTGGGCCAGGGAATAACGCTTGTATGGAGGAGGAGAGGAGGGGAGGAATCCCACAATCCGACAGTTATCCTTATAGAGGCGCTCTTTGCCGTAGACTGACGCGGAACATAGTTCTCCAAGCCGATGTCGAAACTGAGGAACTGGCCCGATTCAGATGGAGAAGCGATCTTTGTCTGTGTACAACAAAAAATCCCTGGAGTCCCGAAAGTGAACGACAAATCTGTCTGTAAATGTAGTCTGGATTCGTAAAGAATCAGCAAGTCTTCCAGGTATACGAGGCATCGCACGCCCAAATTTGCGGATGTGTGCCCTCACTGGTTACAGTAGGTTCGCGAGCACCACGGAGTCGTAAACTGCCGTGTTTGTCCTCACCATCGGGATCGGAGGAAAACTTCGGCAGTCCAGGGCAACGGGTACCGACAAGCGTGCGTCCTTGAGGTCTAGATGTGTAAACCAGTCGTTATCGCCTAGGAGGTCTTGTAGAAGACGAATTTCCTCCATCTTGCAGCATTTTTATACCACGTAGGAGTTCCATTGATGTAGTCTCCTGGCTTCTTCTTGACCAGGAAAAATTTGTTGGGGAAGCCTTCCCCTCCGTTGCGTGTTGAATTGCGCACCTCCTGAAGAGGGTGCAGATTTTCTTGTCCACGAGGCGTTCCTGTTCCGCCAGCGTGCGTAATGGAGGTGAAGGGGCGACCTGCACGGCTGTGATAAAACTCTATGACATAGCCTTGTACTGTCTGGAGAACCTAGGTGACTTTGGTAGTCGTCTCCCAATTCTGTAAAACAGAGACAGGTTGCCGGTCATAATATTGGAAACAGTTAGTTATGTAGGTTGACACACTAGTAGATGAAGCGGATGGGTTCAGACTTGTTTTAGCGAGGACTGGGTTTAGTGTGGTGAATAAATTCACGTGTTTTTTGAGTACTGCAATGAACACTACGTCGAATAGTAGGCCTTGTGCTTTTGGGCCGAATACTTGTCGTTCCTAGGTCCAATAGTGTGTTGTCGATGCGGCCCAGTACAGATTTGCGTCTGTCGGCGCATAGTGCGTCATTTACGTTGCCCAGGAGGCATATCGAGCATTGAGACCATTCTTTGGAGGTGGTAGGGTTGAGTTGTGTACCCTGGGGCAACTCGGTCTTGAGGCGTGCGCATCCTTCCATCCCCCGAGGGTTGTGCAGCCAATAGTGTTCGTCCAGGAACGTTCCGTCTTCGGCTACTCTGGTTTAGTGCCGCTACAGTTATCTCTGCCTCAGCCGCCGTCACAGAGTAAGGTTTCCCTAACGTACTT